CTAGTAGCGATGCCAGGAGCCCCTAGTAGCTTCTTGTTACTACTAGTAAGGCACTTGTTACTAGTAGCGACGCGCTTGTTCCTAGTAGCTTCTTGTTCCTACCAGTAAGGCACTTGTTACTAGTAGCGATGCCAGGAGCCCCTAGTAGCTTCTTGTTACTACTAGTAAGGCACTTGTTACTAGTAGCGATGCGCTTGTTCCTGGTAGCTTCTTGTTCCTACTAGTAAGGCACTTGTTACTAGTAGCGATGCCAGGAGCCCCTAGTAGCTTCTTGTTCCTACTAGTAAGGCACTTGTTACTAGTAGCGATGCGCTTGTTCCTAGTAGCTTCTTGTTCCTACTAGTAAGGCACTTGTTACTAGTAGCGATGCACTTGTTCCTAATGGCTTCTTGTTCCTACTAGTAAGGCACTTGTTGCTAGTAGCGACGCACTTGTTCCTAGTAGCTTCTTGTTCCTACTAGTAAGGCACTTGTTTCTAGTAGCGATGCACTTGCTCCTAGTAGCTTCTTGTTCCTACTAGTAAGGCACTTGTTACTAGTAGCGATGCACTTGTTCCTAGTAGCTTCTTCTTCCTACTAGTAAGGCACTTGTTACTAGTAGCGATGCACCTGTTCCTAGTAGCTTCTTGTTCCCACTAGTAAGGCACTTGTTACTAGTAGCGATGCGCTTGTTCCTAGTAGCTTCTTGTTCCTAATAGTAAGGCACCAAACAGTTGTTTATATTGTTTTGATTCTCTTTGCTCTCATGCTCAGGCGGACTGGAAGGAAGAGGACTACGACCCAGACAAGGCGTAGGGAAGACACTTGAAGAAACACTGGAAGCAAATTCAATCAGAGAACTTGATCGACTCTTGATTCCTAAAAGCTAAACGGTTTGTTTCAGACTGGTTAAGTTTGAGGTGGATCAGCGCAGTGAGTACGAGCTCCGGGTGATTGCCAAGTACAAGATGCGGCCAGAGTTCTTAGTAGCAATCCAGAGACAAAGTTGTAGACTTCTGTACACCTCCATTGCGACAGCAATTTCTTTTTGTTTTTTAGTTTCCATTTTTTTGCTCCCCTTTGGATTTGGTTTTTCTCTGTTGAAAGTGTTTGGCTGAGGGTGTCCCGGACTGGCAAGTATGGCACTTGAGTGAGTGGTTTCTGCGAGACAAGACGTGTGCCAAAAAGAAGTCAAGTGCCTTGTCAAAGTTGAGAGAGCTGTTGTGCTGCGAGACACGTGTTGGATCAAGTCATCAATCCCTCTTTGCCTCACTTCAGCCGCTCAAACGGGCGCCGCTTGTTGGCTCCGAAAGATCCATTTCTTTCTGTTTTTTCTCTTAAACCAGTTTAGTGCTGGGGGCTAGTGTGTCCTTCTTGCAACTCCTTAGTAGATCTCAGTAGCAATTTTCCACATTTGTCTCCCAATCTGGGCTAATGTGTCCTTCTGGCAGCTGCTTTCAAAGCTTTTGGACTCACACAAGATCTTCCTGTTCTAGAGTCGCCTACGAAGGCCAGCATGGACGAAGTCATAACCTTTGCATGCGTCTTTGGCATTTTGAGTGTGAGAGTACTTCGGCCGAGATTATCGAATTTGGGATTCCCATCGCCTTCGGACTACTACTCCCACTTCTTTCCCACGACTTAGGATTTTGCCTCGACCTTCACATTCTGATCTGCAGGCATTTGGTTGGCAAGTGGATTTGACTGGGGGTCTTTCAGGCCATGCCGTGTGGACTGCCATGATCTCTTTATTCCTCACCGGCTTTCCAAGCTGATTCCAACCTTGTTCCACAGAAGGAATCAACGGAGAAGAAGCAGTTCTTTCACGCACGACACACTCTGTCACATGCGCAGGCTGCCTCATCTTCTACCAGTGCCGGTTCTGGGAAACCCGACCTTGGGTCACTCATGGCGATCCTTGCAAACCCTTTACTCCGACCATTGGCAGCGCGCGGATTCAGAAGCGATCGGTTGGTCAGAAACATATTGACCAGGTGGCGGCGAAGCTCAAAGAGGAGCTTAAAGAGTTCACCTCAAAAGCTGATCAACGTTTTCATCAGGTTGAGACAGAACTAGTCCTTCAAGCAATGTCAGCGCTCGTTGCAACAGCAGATGGCACAGGTTCAGGCCAATGTACACGCGTCCAAGGAGCATCTTGAACATTCAGTTCGTGCCTCATTTCAGACCTTGCGCACTGAAATGGTCTCAGATGTCTCAGAGAAGATGGACAAGCAGTTTGGGAGGTTTGAAGCTATGCTTGCCAAAAACTTACGTACAGAGTACTCTGGCCACGTCGGACGCCTAGATCTTCTTTTGGCTGTGCTTTTTGGAGTCGACTCTTTTGTTTCTTGTATTGGTCCATTGGATCGCCACCTGTATCCTTTCTCGGAACTTCGACACCTCAGGGTGCTCACGATTTTGAGTCGGGGATCGCAGTTGATGATCTGGCTTTTGACAATTCAGTTCCGGGCACGCTTCATGTTGAGTGGAGCATCAATCTCAATCCAAACACACCTACGAGGTTTGCAGTTGAACCCATCGCAATGTGGGGTCATTTCGTTGTGATGCGGTCAACATTTGCTCTTTCTTCTGGCTCTTCTGCCTTGTGTTCCTGTGGGGCTTCTCTTTGCCTCATATTGCTCTCGGTTGTGGTCATCGTTGTCGCATTGGGGAGGCGCCAAACCCAGGTCCTGCGTTCACCATCCTGTTGAAGTGACCAATCCTTCAGGCGTTCGCGCTATTTGCTTGGATCATGAAGTCGAGGTTCTTTCTCACGGTGCACTCAACGGAGCTGTGTCGGCGTACTCTGATGTCCCAAGCGTCATGAAGCTCGTTTTCTACGCTCCCATTTTGGAGCTCAATTGCCACAAGATGAATGGGCTGGCTGCTGGTCTGGAGTTTGCAGTCGCCCTCGAAATTCGGTTATCCCACTTCACCCGCATGGCCAGGGGCCTTGTCTTGCACGCAGGCATTTTTTGAACATGTCACTCAAGAAGTCATCTATGGTGCCATGGGCCGTTGTGTGGTTTGTGGGGACATGAATGCTTCAACTGCAGCCCTCTCAGTCTTCGAAGCAAACGTCTCTACCATTGATCACCTATGGTTATCTCCCGAAGCCCAGGCCCTTTGCCGGGCGGTGGAAGTGCGACGGCGCGACCGTGCAATGGTCCAGGATGGCCAATGCCGGCTTCAACCCCCTTGGGCCACAGTGCGGAGTTATTGGCCTGTCACCCCACCACCGGCTCTGGCTCTTGAGCAAGACAGTGACCTCGCGTCAGCTTTTGGCAATGGGAGGAGATGCGCAATTCGCTTCTCTGTTCTTCAGTGACGCATTGGTTTCGACAATTGAGGCGATTACAGAGCCTTCGACATTCTGCCATTGCTGGCAACACTTCTTTGTCTGCCGTCACTCATCGGCTCGAATTATGGTCCGCTATTTTGGCAGCTAAGGGCTTTGCTGGCTCCTTTCGTCACTGGTGGCAGCTCTATGGACACTCAAGTCATCCAGATGCGCCTACTTCTCTTCTTTTTGCAGGCCTCGCAGGCCTCGAGTGCTTCGCAGGCAGAGCTCATCTTCTTGACCTTCAAGGGCTGCTATGAACAGTTTGAGGCGTGGGACCTTCGGGAATGTTTGGCCATGCTCAAAAAACAAGCATGACAAGACTCCCAAATCCCTCTACCAGGGTTTGAAAGCTCCGCGACCAGATCATGGACACGGTCCTCAGTGCTCTGATCTTTGTTTGCGCGGTTCATCTATTTCCCACTGTTCATGCAGATTCAGAAACAGTCTTTTTTTGGCTCTGTTGGACATACATACAGAGGTGATGACTTTTGGGCACAGCGATGGAAAGCTCATGTTGATCTCCAACCAGGTCAATGGCAGCGCGTTGTTGGTTCTGTCAGGCTTTTTTGCCACGGATTCCCTTTGACATTCCTCCACTGTCTTCGGGTATTTGGAAGAAAGATTTGAAGAAGTACGCAATCCGAAGTGCTCGAGGAGTTGACGGCTTTTCTGTTGCAGGTTTGCAACATATGCCTGATGCGTGGACCGTTGCTGCACTTGCTGCAACAGATTGAGCAAGGTCACCTTTGGCAAGGTCTATATCCTTGTCAGTGTGATCTATCGTACTTGGACTCGCGTCAAGGCCCAAATTCTTCTGCAACGAATGGATCCCTACATTTCTGCAAAGGGCCTTGGTTTTCTCCCTCATCGGGAGCTAGCGCAGATTTGGATGGGCGTCCAGGGCTGCGTTGAACTTTCCTTCTGGAAGGTCTTTGTGGTTCTAGCTCCGATCTATGTAAGGCCTTTGGGAATGTGTCTCCCCCTCAACCAGCCATGTTGTGCCGGCAGTTACAAGTCTCTGAGACTGTCTTGCTTCCATGGCACAGCTTCTTGGCGCAGTGTGACGATCATTTGAAATTTGTGGAGGATTGAGTGCTCCATTGAGATCGGATGTTGGCGTCCCAGAGGAAAAATGTATTGTCAGCGGTGGAAATGGTACAAGTGCACTTCTCCTGGCGTGCATGCACGAAGAAGTTCTGTCCTGCAGTTACCTGCAGTTCTTACGTTGACAACCTTGGTGCCCGAGGAGGTTTTCCCCATGACTTCATTGAAGCCCTCTTGACGACCAAGAACTTTTATGCTCTTTGGAACCTTTGTCTGGATGACCGCAAGACCTTGTGTGGGGCGCAACAAAAGCACTTCGTCAAGGCCTTCAGTTGCTTCCCAGGCATGGAGCATCAATTTGTCGGTTCCTTCAAGCGCTTCGAGCCCAAGCCCAAAAGGCATTGCGAATCAATAACGCTGGTAGCAATGCTTTGCTCCTTTTATCTCTGCGTGGCACCGTGGAAGCCGACCCAGGCTTCTACCAACTGAAGGACACGGTGTTCACCTTCACGCGCATTTGTCACAAGTTGGATCACTTTTCCACCATTGGCATTTGTTCACGCAGGACTCTTTGGCACATTGGGTCAGGGTCCCTTTTCCAAGCTCATTGAACCGCTGAATGCAATTGGTTGGGGCATTGATTTGCCTTACGCGTGGACAAGAGCTGGCTTACGCAATGATCTCTTGAGCGCTCACTCAAAGCTTTTGTTGCAGCTTCTTCGGGATGATTGGTTGCAATGGGTTGCCACTCAGGTGAACTCTTGCAAAGCCATGACAGCTTTGAAGGGTGTTGATGAACGTATCCTTGACCAGAGTCGGAAGGGACAGACAGCTCCCCAACTTTCATTGTAATTTGTGCACAGTGTGGAGTTCCGGATTCTCAGCGACGTTGGCTGATATATGCCCACAGTTTGCTGACCTCCGGCATCTAGCTTAACTTGATTCATCGACAGTGCAAGATGCCTCTCCGGCTCTGCTGTGGCATTTGTCCTCACAAAGATTGGTTGCTGACTTTCAGAGGCGGCCTTCTCATTCTTTGGAACGTGTTTTCACAGATGGCTCAGCATTTCAGCGGCGGACAAGCGGCTTGGGCAATTCTTAGCGCTACCGCTGACTCTACTTTAGTAGCGCCTCCATGGTGCTCGACAGTGAGAAGTCACAGCAGGACTTTTTGTTTTGCAGCGGGGAGCTGAGGCGCAGATTGTTATTCACATGTGGTCAGACAATCTTTCAGTGGTTGAACGCGTGACGACCTCGCTGGACCGGAACGTGGTCCGTCGGTCATGGGACAACGGCGACCTGTGGCTTGTTGCGAGTGATTGGCTGGATTGTTTTGGTGCCTCAGACACCCTTTCGAGGACTGGCTACGTGCGTGGAACACTGCCGCTGATGAGGCGGCAGTGGCCCGCAATCAGCAACGATCCTTGGAGCATGAACACAAGCTGCAATTGGCGAACGCGTTTTTCGAGACTACATGCTGCCGGCTACGTTCTTTTTACTTCCACGTGGTTGAGCAACGGCAGACCACCTCCTTTCAGCCTTCTACTGAGAGCAGTGAAGATCAGGATAGTGTCTCCTCGCGCCGCCTTTTCTACATTTTTTGCCGGAGGCCTTGGAGACGCAGGTTCCAGCGTGTAGTTCAGTTTGTTGCCCTCAAGCTTTCCTAGTGGAAGTTGTTAAGCAATCTTTGAGCTGGAAGAGTGCTGCAGATGGGAGGACGTATCTCTGCAGCCATTTGGAGTTAGTCTTTGCTTTGGTGCAGGCTGTGCTGGCATTTAGTGCTGTCTCCGCTCCTCCCTCCTTCCTCCTCCTCCTCCTCCTCCCTCCCTCCTTCCACCAACGAACATCCACCAACAAACTGCCACCAACCAACACTCAACTGCGTGGCAGGCGCAGAACTTGGTTCTCTCCAGGAAGTCGGATGTACACCATGTTACACCATGGTGCTGCTCCTGGGTCGCCGCCGCAGCGCCGGTATGATTTGCGTGGCGGGCGCAGCGCTTCAAACCAACCAACCGCAAACCACCCACCACCAACAACCAACGATCAACCAACCACCAACCACCAACCGCGCACCAACCTCCTCAGCGCGAGACCGCAGCAGCGACCCCGAAGTGCGCCACGTAGTATACGCCTCGGTTCATCAATGCGATTGTGCATCTTCGTACGCGTACGTCGTAGACCGAGCACTGCGCCAAGGACTGCGCGAAGGTGCCACGACAGGCCTTTAGAGGCCAGAGGTCAAACTCCACGATGCGACGAGCCGACAGGATGACGGCGTACCGTGCGTGACTGCAGATAGCACTTTACCAAAAGATTCAAATTTGCAGGTGCGTCCAGCTGGCCAAGCTGGATACCCCACCAGATTGCAAAGCTTTGTTAGCAACGGTCTGCAATCTGGTTCCGTGTCCCCCTGCTGAAAAACAACAAGATGGAACCCACGAACCCGAATGGAAACACCTTCGAAAAACTACATATGTCCAAATGACACTCTTGTAGGACACTCTTGTGGGACACTCTCCTGGGACACTCTTGTAGGACACTCTTGTAGGACACTCTTGTGGGTCACTCTTGTAGGAAACTCTTGTGGGACACTCTTGTAGGACACTCTTGTGGGACACTCTTGTAGGACACTCTTGTGGGACACTCTTACACGACACTCTTGTAGGACACTCTTAAGGGACACTCTTGTGAGACACTCTTGAGCGACACTGGTGGGGGACACTCTTGTGGGACACTCTTGTGGGACACTCTTGTGGGACACTCTTGTGGGACACTCTTGTGGGACACTCTTGTAGGACACTCTTGTAGGACACTCTTGTGGGACGCTCTTATAGGACACTCTTGTGGGACACTCTTGTGGGACACTCTCGTGGGACACTCTTGTGGGACACTCTTATAGGACACTCTTGTGGGACACTCTTGTAGGACACTCTTGTGGGGCACTCTTGTAGGACACTCTTGTGGGTCACTTGCAGGACACCCTTGTGGGATAGGACACTCTCAAGGGACACTCTGGTAGGACACTCTTGTGGGACACTCTTGTTGGATACGCTTGTCGGACACTTTTAAGGGACACTCTTGTGGGACACTCTTGAGCGACGCTGTTGCGGGACACTCTTGTCGAACACTCTTGTGGGACACTCTTGTGGGACACTCTTGTGGGACACTCTTGTGGGACAATCTTGTGGGATACTCTTGTGGGACACTCTTGTAGGACACTCTTGTAGGACACTCTTGTGGGACACTCTTATAGGACACTCTTGTGGGACACTCTTGTGGGACACTCTCGTGGGACACTCTTGTGGGACACTCTTGTAGGACACTCTTGTGGGACAGCCTGCATTTCGCGCGCTCGACGCGCGCGATCTCCGCAGAGCGTTGCGCGCGCGTGGGACAAATCGCACTCTCGCCTACATTTCGCTCACTCGACACGCGCGATCTCCGCGGAGGGTTGCGCGTCAAGTCTCCAAAACGAGCGTTTCGTACGAGACTTTCTCAAAAAACTCACACGTCAAAGTCTGCAAAACGAGCGTTTCGTACGAGACTTCCTCCAAAAGTCAAGCGTAAACACCCATCGGAGCACACACATCACGCAGCCCTGCCAAGCAGTTTCGCGATTCCAGCCCCTCCAAACAACGTCCGCTCACACGCCAATCCCAATGTGACAGCGACATTCACCTCTACCACAACTCACGACCTCACAATTCCCTGCGCCCGCCACGAATCTTTCCACATCCACACGTCTAACGGGCACAAAGTACTGCGCTCACGGTTCCCTGCGCCTGCCACGAAAATCGCACTTCCATGCCTCAAAGCCCGCGCAAATTCCTGCGCCTGCCACGAAAAGTGACAATATCATCCATGTGAGCTTCAACAAAATTTGCACCACACCACACATTTGGAATGATTTCGACCCGTTCTGAGCACACTCCCATCCACCAAAATCACCATTTCAGCTGAGACTTGTCATGAAAACCGAGCTTCGATGCCACACCCTGAAACGCAAATCCCAATGGTACGGCCACATCCAACACCCCAAAACACGACTCTCCACACGCTAATCCCAATGGAACTGCGCAGCAATCTGCGGATCTCACAAAACGCTGCGCCTGTGCAGCGAAATGCATCACGTTTCTTGCGCGACATGTCATTGTCATGCAAATCACAATGGAATAGCGGCGCAAACTGACACGTGACACATCCATGAAAAGTCACTTGCAAAAGCTTCCCCCAATGGCAGCAGATTTGAGACGCGACGACGACGACAAACGACGAGAGACGACGAGAGACGACGACAGACGACGACAGACGACGACAGACGACGAGAGACGACGAGAGACGACGAGACGACGCAAGCCATGCAAACACAGCTCCAACCCCCAGACCCCCAACTATAAACGGGAACCCTTCGCTACGCATCCGGGAAAAAGAATCAACGCAATCCGACAGGATCCCTGTGATTTCAAGGGGCGCACACACACGCACCACATACACCAAACATCACACCCAGTCACACGTGAGACAGACTGACCTGTGTGGAATGATTGTCTTGAAGTCTTGATGCGCAACAACTGTGGATTTTTCTTGTCGAGGGGCAGTGCGTTGGGTTGTCTGTGCTAGATTTGACGCTGGAAGTTTTGATAGAAAGCAACACGTTACTGGAAGATGGGCACCGTGCGAACGTGTGGTGGAAAGCAGCTGTCTCCATCCTCTACCCGTGCACCGATGTGGTGAGTGATTTGGATTGCGCGCAGTAGATTTGCGTCCCTGTGTGTGTGAGATTTCGAAGCTCACGTACATCCAGGGAGGGCTTACAGGAAAGAGAATTTCTCACAGTAGCTGAAAGCAGGTGTTGTCTCCAGCAGATCCATGTTGGAGATCCTCCAGGCTGTACGAATGATTTTGTCCCCACATTTACGTGTGGGGTTCTTGTTTTTAGTGCTGCATCCGCTCCTCTCCTCCTTCCCGCCCACCGCCAACAAACAACATCCACCAACAACAACCACCAACAACAGCCACCAACAATATCCACCAACAACAACAACATCCACCAACAATATCCACCAACAACATCCACCAACAACGACCACCAACAACAACCACCAACAACACCAACGACCAGCCACCAACCACCACCAATTGTCCGCTCCTGTGTCTGGTGAAATTGTTAACATGTGGGGTTTTCCGGTCCTGTAATTTTCGTCGGTTGACAAGATTATTTTGAATGCCACAATCCCGGTATGTGGCATTGCTTTGTTACCCATTCCCGGTGGTGCGATCTTGCGCTCGTCGATCCAAACTTGGACTCGAACATGGCCTGTGAGGAAGGCGGCCGACATGGCCCGTCCTTTCTCGTTTGACCAGTGACCTGCCGGTGTTCCGGTTCCGGCTCCAGGACGGCAGCGCCGCTCTGCTTTGCAGCTGAGTGCAATGCTTTGACCAATCCGCGGTATTTCCTTTTTTCGACGACCAGAGTTTGTCGTCGTCGCTTGGGGAGTTTGCTTGTCGCACTCTGCTCTTGTTGGGCCAAAAACACTTGGCGCCTGCGCTTTCGAAGCCGTTCCTACTTCAAGTACTTGCCGCGTTGAATGCTGTCGAAATGAAGAGCAACTGGTTGAAGGTTCTGTACCGATATCGATGCCCTGCACCGTGGGACTTGGGCATCAAACTCAGAGCTCATGAGTATTCATGTGAGTACCTGGCATATCAAGTCATATCACAGCCAGTGTTCTCCAACCCTCGTGCGACTGACCATCCTCCACTCTGCACCATCACTCAAACCGTAGCTCAAACTCTGCTTCAGGTTTCAGAAACACTACGACCGTTGCAGAAACCACCTTTCAGCATGCGCGCGTTTCAGCAACCACGGTTCGAAAACTAAACGCTCGTTTCAGAACCTTTGTTCTAAAAAGCTATGGGCGCCTGCTTAATTAAGTGAGGAGGCAAAGGGGGGGTCCACGTGCTAAAAAAGGAGACCGTCTTCCATAATTAATTCTAGTTTCTTCTTCTTTCCCATCCTAGTTCGCTTGAACCCTCACTCAAGCCAGCGCCACTAATAGAGTCAAAACCAAGTCAACGACGTGCCCCAAACCGCGTGCTGCAACCTTTTTTTGCGCCACTACTCTACTGCCTAGGTTATTTAGGTCCGTAGTCCACCCACAAATCACACGGTGTGGGTTTAAGTAGTGCCACTCTGCATTTCATCAAGTTTCGCTCGGCAGGTGTGCTGAATTCGACAGGTGTGATGCAACAAACATCAAAAACACTTCCTTCCGATTCTAAGTGCGTTTTGCTCCATGGCTACCGAGTACTGGGTTGAGAAGCACACATTTGCAGTATTTGTATCTGCTTTATGGTCTTGCGGCTGCATTTATGACACTGCCCAGAGGCTTTTCTGAAGCTGGCCAAAAGACAGGTCAGGTTACAAGTCGACTTGGAATCAAACCCATTTCTGAAGATGTTTTCATACCGAATCGGTAGATCGGTATACTCGAGTCCCAAGAAGCGAAAAAACATTGACCATGCTGGGAGCCATGCGGTCGGTGGCGCAAGTGGTCCGCGCACGGGCACGGTGTGGAACACTTCCTCGCTCAGGTGCTGTCGTGTACTTCGTTTGTCAAGTGCTTTGTGGTGAGAAAGTGTTTTCGCTCTCAGGGCACCGCATCGACTTTGCCGCCTTTGCTGCCATCTCGAGACCGCAGCAATTACATCGGTGGGAAGAGAGAGTCAGAGTGTATAGAGTGAGAGTGTATCGAGAATGGAAGAGGTACTAGACAGATTTGAACGCACAGTTTTAGTGCTTCTATTGTTCTCTACTGTTTATTCCACAGATAGCCAGAGCTATTGAGGTTCTTACTTCAAGTATAGGGAGGGCTGCAGGGCGCCGCTGCTGTGTACGCTTGGGAGCTTGGGTGCTGGTTCCGCTGCTGCGTGCGCTTGTTATGAAGCGCGAGCGAAGAAGCCGCGACAGCTAGAATGCAATGATTCCAATGCTATCTGGGGTGCGCTTTGGACCCTGGGTGCTGGTGGAGAGTGGCGGTGCAGCGTGCAGCTGCCCAGTGCGCGGTTTAGTTTTGCTATGTGGGGTCTATGCTGGCATCACTTTCGCGCAACTAGCTTTCTTGCATCTTGCTGCACGGCTTAGACTCTAGACTTGCATGATTGCGACAGGCATCGAAAACGTTTGGAGGGCTTTGGAAAAGACGTGGCTGCAGGAGATGCCAAGGCACTGGGCCGTTTTGACATGTTCAGATTATTCCTAGGATTGCCCTGGAGTGTCGACTCTATTCACTTGCCGCAGAGATTTATGGTGAGACGGTGGCGCTACATTCGAGCGTTGCAAGTTGCCTCTCCCATTTGCTTTAGATGCCGTGCCAGTTTGCGCACTGTTGGACCACTTTTCCCTTATTTCATTTTCGGAAGAAAGACGACCGCGGTCGGTGGACGCACGTTTTGCACCGCGGATGCCAGACGCTGGCGGATTGCCGTGAACTCCTCAAGGACGACGACTGGTTCGCCCGAAAGGTGGCTGTCGACACCCTTCGCCAGGCAGATCTCAACATGTTCTTTTCAATAACATTATTCTCTATTTTTTGGTGTTCTTTTTGAACTGCATATCTTGAAAGCCTTTCGTGACGTGATGTTCTCGAGCACCTCTTGCTTCGGCCTCGATTCGGATGCCCAGCTGGCAGTGTGCGGCCTTGCGCGATTGCGCGGCTGTTCCCTTCCATTGTGGATATGAAGCTTCCCCAAACCGCAAACCTGGTTGCTTCCTGAACTTAGACCACTTCCGGCTGCGCAAACTGTTGCTGCAGCCTCTCTCGCGCAAGGACATGGACGGCGGAGAAGGCTTTGTCCACTAACTGCCTGCAGCGGGACGGAGCAACTCCATGCAAAGGGTTTTGCTCCTGAACCCAGTCAAAGAGCGAATGTTCAAGCAGCCACGTGATGGCACTGATATCAGACTGATGGCCGGCGCCTCGTCTGTACACGCGAAAAAGTCACTCAACTGTACACGCAAATGAGATGCCTCATTTGTACACGCGGATTTGCTGCCTCAAACAAAAGGGCGAGTCAAGTTGGAATGACCACTTCCTTCTCTAGATTTTACCCCTGCATTGCCCACACAAAGGGGTGAGTCAAGTTGGGCCACTTTTATCGTGCGTGCGTGCGTGCGTGCGTGCGTCGTACGTGAGTGGGTGAATGAGTGACTGATGGAATGAGTGAGAAAGTCACTTGGGCAACGCAGGGGTAAAGTTTAGAGAAGGAAGTGGCCTTTCCAAGTTGACTACCCCTTTAAGTGAGCAATGCAGGGGTGAAATTTGGAATACGCAGCAACATTCGGGAAAGGGCCTGTGTGCGCACTTGAGTCCCCGCGATGGGGTGTGTGCGCGCTTGAGTCAACAAGTGTGTGCGCAGATGAGGCACAAGGGCTGATAAGATGTGTGTGCGCACTTGAGTCGAATCCGTGTGCGCAGATGTGGCGCTGCCGAGACTGATTGCGTCACTTTTGCAGACACCCGCCCTAACGGGGTCTTCTTGAAGAGCTATCAATGCCAAAGACACATTGTCAAACTGCGACTCGAGGTCAGCCAGGTCTTCTGTGGCGAAAGCAGCAACAACTTCTGCGTAATACCTCTGGTGTGAACGAGCAACGCAAGGCAACAAGGGCTAGCCGGTGAAGATCGCCGCATGCGGTCTGGGTTCAACTCTCCCTTCCGCCTTCCGTTTCAGTATTGCCGGCAGCCGAACCCGCATCGTCAAGCTCTGCGCGAGCCCTTTCCAAGGACATCGGTGAAATGACAAAATGGAGGTCTAAGTCTAAGTCTGTCTTTCACACTGGCATTATCTCAATCCAAATAGTCGCCAAAAAGACTACATGGGTTGCACGAGAGGGCGAAGCTATCGTTTAGTGCGACTTTGGGGAAACTCAACCTCAAACATATCATTCGTATTCACTGGCATTCTTGTGGTCAATTTTTGGTGGCTTTTGTGTACCACAAGATACCACAAGCAATGTGCCGGATGCGGCGCTGGCACATCGTGTCAAACTGAGGGCCCTCTGTGGATTGCATTAAAGGCGCCCAGAATAAAAACACATTCCCCTTCCGTAATGAAAAGGAAACTCTCACTGGTGGTCGTTTGGTCGAAAGGAAACTGAACCCCCTTTGGAACGCTTCGGCGCTGTCTGATCAGGTCCGGCTTCGGGTTGCTGTGGCCTGATCACCAGCTTTGGATTCATTCAGTTTGACTGTGGAACTTGTAGATTCCCTTAGGCCCTTGATGCTCTGCCATGTTTCAAGCCATTCTATAGGCTTCGGAGCAGGTTCTGGAGCAGGTTCCGCTGGAAGTTCTGGAGCAGGTTTCAAGTGGCGTTTGGCACTGCTTTCAGCTGGTGCCAGTCTCCGGAATTTGCTCCAGAACTCGGAGCCTGCTTGGGAACGTACTCCAGAATGGCTTCCGCAACGCTCCGGAACATCGGCAACCTCAGATAGATTTGCCCATTTCCACAAACTCAACAGCCAAATGTTGCCACTAAAGCAGCAAATTCATGCCCAGCTGTTGGGTTTTTTTCTTGGGTTTAATGTTTTTTTCGAGCAACGTTGTGCAGAATTCAGGCCTTTTTCATTAGGCTTACGTGAGTCCGGAAAGCTGTGGAAGCGGCTCGCCATACTCACATGTTTTCCATGTCGGACCTTGTAGTGCTTCATGTTTGCATGTTTGCCGTGCTTGCGGAAGGCCTCCCTTTCTGTTCGAATTGTTTCCGTGTTTTTCTCCTGCTTTGGAGTTTGACTATGAAGGTGTCAATGAAGGGTGACGAGACCCAATTGTCCTTGCTGTACACGGCTCTGGAGGACAATTGAACTGACACACTGGGAGAGACAAGAACACAAAACAGATCACCGGATGACAGTTAACAAACAGATCTGAAGAGAAATAACAGTTTTGACTTTTTGCTCGTTGAGGATGAGGATATCTTTGTGCGTGAGGTGATCCTTTCGTATGCGTTCGGGTTGATCGTGAAACGGAGCGAAACACGTTTCTTCAAACACAATCCGTCCTCAAACCATTTGGGTCGCCTTTCTTCGCCTTGGAGGCTGCGGTGGATGCAGTCGTGCAGGTGGCCCATCCACAGGATCCGCTGGCGCTCAGCAAGGTTTCCGTCAGCCTCAGCGACGAGGTGAAGAGGGCGAAGAAATCACTTTTTGAAAACATGCAGAATAGTAACAAGTGCCTTACTAGTAGTAACAGGTGCCTTACTAGTAGTAACAAGAAGCTAGTAGGAACAAGTGCCTTACTAGTAGTAACAGGTGCCTTACTAGTAGTAACAAGAAGCTAGTAGAAACAAGTGCCTTACTAGTAGTAACAGGTGCCTTACTAGTAGTAACAAGAAGCTAGTAGAAACAAGTGCCTTACTAGTAGTAACAAGAAGCTAGTAGAAACAAGTGCCTTACTAGTAGTAACAAGTGCCTTACTGGTAGTAACAAGAAGCTAGTAGAAACAAGTGCCTTACTAGTAGTAACA